CTGGTTAGTCACAGTTCTCCCTGGACATACCAGAATTAATAGACTGGATTTCAAGGTCCTTCTCTTATTTTCCGTTGCTAATGTCAGCAGCTCTCCTGGCAAAATAACTTGAGTTGCATATTATAAGTGTTCTTTTTCTTTCCTCAGCTCTTCACTTGTTCTAATATACTAAAGGAATTTACAGTGTATCCACTCTTCCTCTTTGGTTGGTTGGTGTGTTTGTGGTTTGGGTTTAGTTTATTTGTTTGTTTTAGCAAAAGCTCTGTTTTAAGTGTAACAGTTCTTGGTCCTGAATTTTCCCTTGTCTGAAGAACCTGTATAAGGTTACATATTTTTCAGTTCTTTCTTGTCCTTTGTTCAGAGCTATTCAGAGGTTGACTCATTTCCTGAGCCTTTTAATGGCAGAAAGGTATTTAGGAAACCATGTGCCAGAATGTTCTCAGTGCCTGCAAGGAGAATTGGTGTTCAGGAGTTATTAAAACACAAGAGTTATTAAAACATAACATCTGGCCTTCAGTAGTAAAAGGGATGTGGGATTGGATGCTTGGGACCCAGATGTTGCTCCCTCATGCTCTAGTTGCCTGTCTCCTACAGTGGCAGCTGACTGATCTTTCAGAGTAATGCATTTAGGTGCCTTCCATGCTCCTGGCTCCTTGCCTAGTTTTTTACCAAAGCAGAAGGATTTTTGGTATAAAACAGCATCTGTTTCCAGACTTGATCTGTCTCTTGAATGATGAGAGCTGATAATTTTAAAGTTCATAGGCATAAATGTAAATACTTTGGATTGTCAGGATAAGTGCCCAGCTTTCTGAAATCCAGAAATACTTCACTGTTTTTGTGTCCCTGTGTCATGATTCCCTTATGCTTCATTGCACACTGCATATGAACATTTCCCTTCTGTTTTCTCTAAGCAGGTAGTACTTGTTGCTAATTTCATCTTGCATCTTGTATCAAGGGAGACTTTTTTTCGATATCAAGAAATGATAACCAGATTTTCTTTCTCCTCAATTAAAAAAAGGAGGGGGGGAGGAAGTGTGTACAATTAAGTGTTTGAAATATATGATGTAAATGACATCCCTGGAGCTTAAAAATCTCTTTATTCTCTGGAGAAACACATTCTATTCTGTAGCTGTTGAAGGCTTCCTACTGTCCTACTATTTAGGGAATTAAAAATTTTTCACTGATAGGTTCAAAGTAGAAGAAAAATGTTTAATTAGTCACTCTCATTGTTCTTGAAAGAAATGGCAAAGAAAAAAACCAAAACCTAATGTTTTTCTTCTCCAGATGTAAAGATCTGTTTTGATAGTGAATGATGTTCTGGGATTGCCTAAACCAGCTAGGGTAAATCCAAGCCAGCACTCCTAGTGATAAATATATGGGATACTTTTAAAACGCTTGGCAATGGAAGAAAACAAGCTGCATGCATCATTAAACTGAAGGATCTGGGGAGAAACCATGCAGCTTCAAAAGTAGTACAGATCTTTTATAATAGTAGTCTATGAAGTTAAGACTGTTTTCCCTTTCTGTAGAGTTCTCCTTTACATGACTTCTAATTTGTAGGTAGTATCTTCTGTTTCACTAAGAAAAATATGTTTCTTTAATGATAACACGTAGATGTTCCTCTGGTTGTGTTGTTTCATTACAATTATTAGCTTGTTCGCGTAATGGTTGAATTGCGAATAAAGGACTGAAAAATACCATCTCACTTGCATTCAAATTGCTTTTTTTTTTTTTACTGCAGGTATTCAGAGTATAACACATCCTGAGATACTAAAGATACTGGTTTCTTAAAGAAACTGCTACAAGAAGTATAAAATTGGCTGATTGTTCCCCTTGTTGTTGATAACTTGTACAGTTTTTTCCACCATTCTGCATGTATGCATCAGGAATAATGTTGTAGGTTGAGACAGCTGATTACATTGATGGCTTTCCCAAACATTAACTCAGATGACTGAAAATACTGCTTTCCTTACCAGTTGATGTGGGAAGGCTAAATTTTTAAGTCCTTGCTGGATGTTAAGGAACAAGTGTGATGTGTGAGAGGATTTATGATTAAAAGGAGCGATCCCTTGGAGTAATTGTGATATTTTGAGGCTTGAACAGATTTCAGTTCATTAAGAGTACAGCGTGTAGTCATCATGAATGATCTTTTTTGGGGTATGCTAGCCACTTGTAGATTAAAAAATGAAGTTGTAGAAATGAAGCTACACTTAAGAGTTGAGTTTGGAATGTAAAATGCAAACAATCTTAAGTGAACACGGCCCATCCCCATCAGTATTAAAGTTGAGAGTCCACATTCAAGCAAGTTCTCATTACTTCAATGCAAGTTATGAACAGATAGTAAGAGCATTCACTCCAGTAGGTGAAAATTACTTGCTGCTGTGCCATCTCCATTTCATGACAATTTAGTTAATTATACTGTCCAATAATGACTTACGACTGTGCACAGAGAATTGAGATAAAAAGGAGGAATTGTAGTGATTTTCAAAAGCAAGACCAAAGAGTATTGCTGCCTAAAATATGGGGATAATACATTCCATGAGCTCCAATCACTGGATGACCACTGGGTTTTTCTTCAGCTGTAAATTAGGGGATTATACAACTCCTGTATAGCATTAATTATTAAATAAAAGCAATTTCACAGTTTTATTCATTCATGAAATTCCTTTAAAGAGTGAAAGATTTGCAGTATCTTCTTTGTTACTTGTGATTACCTCTTTTATTTTTCTTTGTAACTGCTCTGATGGATGGTGCCTGATCTAGGGCAAACTCTCCCCTGTGATGCTTGTCATCAGACCTTTTATGAGTTCTAAAGTAATAACTTGATATTCTAGTAATAAGACAGGTCTTTTGAAGAAAAATATGTATTTGCTTCATCCTTTATGCTCCCTGTTTTATCAGTGTTTCTGGTTAAAATTCAGGTACTGAATATCACTGGTGCATTATGACAAGCCTGTTTTTTTTTTTTTTTCCAATTCTTTGACTGTAAATAAAGAGACAAAGAGACATAAATGTTCTTATTTGCACATACTCATATTTGCTGGTTGTAATGAGAAAATACTGTTTCGTAAATTACTTGGTGCCTACCAAGTGGATGGTCTGCTGGTTGTACATAATACAGTAGGATGTAAAATCACCTAAAATTCCGTTTTTTCTTATGTTGTCTCTTTAGTTCAATGTATCCTGCATTAGTTTCATCTTAATTTGTTGTGCATCAGGCTATAACATAAATCCTACTTGCCTGCCTGCAGTCAATATAGCAAGTTTCTCTTGGTATATAACTATCTGTTGGAGACGTGTGTCTATGACAGGGACAAAATACTGAGTAATGCTGGTTCCAAAGGAAAAAAAGTAAGGCTTCAATACCAAGCATCTTAGGTGGCTTAGCACAGTGTGCACATTAATATTTAATATTAATATTTAAAATAAGAACATGAACAATGCTGGACAACATCAGATGAATTCAATGCAATTACAAGCACTCCACAAAAGGTTTCCTTCCTGATAGAGCTGCCCATGCTCCAGCCATTTGTGCTGCTTGCTGAGTGGCTCAGAACTGCTCAGAAAGCAAGAAAAGACCTTTGCAGAAATACCCAGTCCCCACCTGACCTGTTCCTGTTAGTGTTTCAGGGTGTTTGTGGAGCACCAGCTCGTCCTGTTGGTCTGTGCTGAGTTTGGGCTGAAGGTAATTCACGCCCTTGGGGTAAAATGGTACAATTAGCTGTTCTTGACCCAGTCAGGTCAGTATGGGTCAAGTTTTACTCCAGTTTTCCTTCTTTTCTAAGGGGAGTGTAGTCTGTGCCAAAGGTGCGTTATCTGTGAGCAATAAGGATATGATAAGAGCATGATTGTGAAAAATGGAATAATAATAAATAAATGTCACAGTTCAACTTTCCCAGTACCAATCTTGCATGAGTGTGTGTACTTGTGAAATGTGTTCTTTCTGGTTTTGAATTGCTGAGAATTTGCCACAGTCATTCTGGTTTTACAGGCTGTGTTATTGGGTCTGTGGGCATGTGTTCACTCTTATGGAAGGGTTCTGTATGTTATAAAATACTGTGTGTCTTTCTGTTTAAATATTTCTTCTTGCTTATATATATAATACATTACCAATTGTAAAATAAGAAGCTGCCATGCTTTGTGCTATGAAACAAACTCTTAATTTCAGGTCTTATTTGTTTCAGAAAGGTGTGCCTTAGCTGTAAAGGAAATCCATAGCTTCAAAATCAGTAGGAGGGGTTGCTACTTAAAGCTGAATTACTAGTGACACTTAAAATTTAGAATTTAAGAATGTTTACGACTGGTAACATATATAATTGTCTGTTCAGAGGTCAGAAACTCTGGATATTCATTTATTAGTGCTAACTGAGCCAAATGCTCAGCTCAAATGCATGATCATTCTTCTAGCTCTAAACACTGTCTTAAGTTGTAACATTTAGCACAGATACAATACAGATACAGTTTTTATGAAAAGAAAGCATGAGTTAATATATCAGATATCACTTCTAGAGTTTTTGAGTAAAGTGAGTCATAGCAGTTAAAGGTGAAAAGTAATCACTAATTAGATTTTCTTAAATCTATTTTCTTACAAAGTGTGAAATTTTTGAAGGTGCAAGGTTTGCCTGGAAGCAACCCATTATTTTCACCCTTATTTTCAGTCTGTGATGAAAAATAACTAAGAAGTGAATCAAACTCTGATGTCATTTATGAAATACAAGTTTTTATAGGACTCAGACACACCAATGAGCTAGAGCAGACTGACAACAGATCCTGTGCCAGGTAAAACTTAGTGAATGATCAGTCAATGGCAAAAACGTGCAAAGCGAGCCCATTAGGAAGTGTGAAAAACAATGGCATTTTCATTGCATGTGACCACAATAAAGCCTGATTAATTATCTGCATTTGTGTTTATCACAGTATGAATAGTTTTATTTTTTTTTTCCCCCTTTCAAGTGCAAACTGAGTTCACTGTTTAACACTGATGCTTTTTATCTTTGCAGTGTGCCGGGAAGACTCATACCAGTCAATAGTGTCATGTGCTGCTGTAGTACTTACCCCTGTGGAGACAACAGTGGATACAAGGAAAAAAGAGCAGATGATAATGCCTGATGTGTCCAAACAGTGAGTTATTCAAATAACATGATCTTTTACAAGTGCAGTTTAAACACCAGGCCAGATTCCTTCTCATGGATATGCATATACACCCTCCTTTCTCTTTCATCAGGGTTTCATAGGTGTTTCCAAAAGTAGAAACTGGCCTGAGGCTAAGCTGCTGCTTTTGTTCATTAGCCTACATTTTTTCCCAAGACTTTTGGTAATGACATTTATAGAGGGAATATAGAGGGCCTTTATATGCCAAGAAACTGACTTTTTAACAGATTTGATAAGGTGATTCTTTTTGTTTGAATAGTGCTTTCATTCGGGCAAGTAGTTGATTTTTATAGAGGAGGTGATTGGTAAATATTCAGCTCATTTGATATATTTCGGTATTTTTCAGTGACCATTTTACCTCTATGATGCAAGATACAATGGCATCTTCAAAAGTGTGGTAGTGTGTTCTTCCAGGGAAACTCTGTCTACTTAATTACAGTGTATGTTGGTGTCTTGCATTAAATAAAGATCATAACCACAGAGTGTACTGTAACATTTGCCTTGCAATACCAGGCAGGATGGTTATTTCTTAATAATTGAGTCTTTGGAAAATAAAGGTAATTTTGTTTACATGAAAAGAAAGAAAACACAATTGTAAGGCTTTACCACAACACAGACTTGAGGTCTGTACTTTTTAAAGTGTGGAAGGTATTAAAAAACATGACAGTGTATAACATCACTTGTGTATTTACCATTTCTGTTTAGTTTTCTGCTTCCCTTGGTATATACAAGTTTAAAATAATCTGTGGAGTCCTGGCTTGCATGCCTATTACTGTAAGAAAATTAAAACATTCCCTCACAGTCCCCAAAAATCCCTGAAACATCCAAAACACCACTGGTGGATTAGAGTAGATTAGGTAGGTTGTGATCTTGCTACAGATCTGTGACTTAAGTCTGTATCTGGCTGTGGTATCTTTTTCAAGGTGGTGATAAACCCTTTTCATCTCAATTACCTGTACTTAAAATTTAACACTGTGCATTACCTGTTGTCCAGGTGTTACTGCCATGGCCTTGTGTTTAAAGTGCTGTGAGTATCTAATTGTTGTAGTGCTTCCCTCGTGTGGCCCTCTGAATGCCAAGAGATTGGAAAGGCAATGGGCTGTAAAATACTGTCCTGAAATCCAGAATAATCTTGCTGGTTAGTTCAAAGCAGCATAGAACATTTTTTCTTGTCTTCACTAAAAGGGAAACCTGCACTGTTGTTTGATTGGCTTTTTCGTCTACTATGATGAGATTCAGCATTTAATAATCTCTTATGAATTCAAAGTAGGAAACTGATATCTGTTTAGCATGTGCTGAATGAAACCATCTCCCACATTTTTGGCATGTTTGGGTTTTTATTTTTTCTTTACAGCCTGATTAGTGTTATCTTCTAAGAGCACAGACATAACTTTTCCTAAACACTTGGGGGTCTCAGAAACATGCTCTAACCTCTGTTACTCTTCTAATTCTCATGTTTAAAAATACAACCTGTGCCTCTGGAATTCTTTAAACTAGAAATAAGATTGTGCTTAAACAAATTAAACCTATTTGAACTTCTCTGTATGAAACTGTATCAGTGTATAAGTGTCTTTAAGCCAACATTTCTGAGAAGTATATTTGAAATTAAAAAGAACCATCTTGCTGGAAAAGGTTTACAGCTGGAATTTGGTAAATTTTGTAGAAACCTTAAGAGTAATTGTAGAGAGGTAAAAGCATGCAGCATCAAGAAAATCTCCAGCATTATGAATGAAACATCAGCATACTGCTCTTGCATTTCACCCTGTGCTTTCTACATGCAGATAGTTTTCTTCATATCCAGTTAATGGAAGCAAAACAGATCCTAATTCCCGTGTCTAAGTATCCCAGTGTCATCTGTCTCCAATGCAGACGTGCCCTTGGCATTTGTTGAATTCCACTGACTGGAATGCAGACTCCATGGATGAGCTGGGATTATGTGCATGCATGGATTATAGTTGTTGGTATTCAATTCATGTGGAAAACAACATTGATGCTTTGATTTTTGTTCTTATCTTTGTGTATCTACATGGTTTTGACTTACATGTCCAAAAATTGTGCATATCACAGAGGGCTGAGCAGTAGCCAGCCATCCAGGTCCTGTAGGGAGAAGTTTCTGCCTTCAGGCCCTACAGGGACAGACTATGTTTAGGATAACTAATGCTTTCTAAAGCTACATGAGAAAGTGTGTGATCCAAACCAGATAAAATGCATATTAATGATAATAAAATGTTAAACAGTTAAAAATAGCTAAAAATAATTATCTTGTGTGCCACAGTAAAATTACATCCAAGACATTCAGGACACAAGCTGTGAAGACTGGTCAGAAAAAAAAAATAAAAGGCTTTCAATGCTACTTGTATAATATTTGATTAATGATGTTATTTTGTCCTAGAAAGAAACTGTTTAGTGGCTTTAAATAATGTATCTGCTTAATGTATTTTTTTTGTAAGCAGCAAATGGTGCCAGAAGTGGTAGCAGCAAATCTTAACGAGACTTTAAGTGTCCATGATTAGATCTTATCAGGACTGCAGGAGTAAAGGGCCAATTTTTTTTTTCCCCTCTGTATTTCTTCTTGGAAGCTCAAACCATTTCATCAGGGAGTAATTTCATAGTGATGCTCAGGTAATTGCTGACTCGTTGCTTGGGCACTGAGCAAAATCCCTACCTCAGTTATTCACCAGGAATGGATTTGGCAAGAGGAAGAGCACGCCTGTGCAGTTTTTGTCTTTCCACTCCACCGAGGCAGTGAAATGCATGGTCAGTGTGAGGTTGGGGTGAAAAATAGGAAATGTGAGCTCTGCTTTATTTTGTCTTCTCAGTCTTCTAGTTTGTCTAGGATGTTGCATTAGCTTTGCTATATTTTGTAGAAATACAAGTCTTAAAAACCTCTTGCTGTCTTAATAGTTCAAGTTATAGAGGCCTCTTTGTGTTACCATAGTGATACATCAGTCAGTTGTTCTCAAAGGTGCCCAGATGCTAAAACAATTGGAACATTTTGAACAGTGAATTCTGCTTAGAATCCCAGTTTTAATCCTTCCTGTCTGAATTGAAATATAAATAAATCAGCTGCTGGCACAGAGCAATGGCATGAGGAATCCTCACTTCTATTTGAAGTTCTTAGGAGGCAGCATGGGAGAGGAAGTGTGGGCCAGGGAACTGTATGTTATGCTCTGAATCAACTTAGCTTCATCTTCACTGGGCAAACTCCTGGCTGAAAGGTCAGCCTACGAGGGGCAGTGTGGAAAAGAAGTGTCTAAAGACGCACGAGTCCCGGAGCAAACAGTGTTCTGCTGCTCTGTGATGTTCATAGATAAACACAGAAAACCATTCATGTGCTACTGGTGCATGAAAAAAGTATGGTGAAATTCAGGCACATCATTTTTTAATCAGATTTAAGGTTAAGCTGATAGTTGTGTGTTTCATTTGATGTGTTTCTTTGGGTATGGCTGCCCAGCAGTTCAGAGTGGTGATTGCAACGATCTGAGCTGGCTGATTTAAAGGTTGTTTGTGCATAAGTATTTCAACTGCTGTCATATTTCTGATTTTGATTTTTACTTAAAGATATTATTTGCTGTTGAAGTGCTCTTAGAGCTACAGTTCTTGTTATGTCATGAAGCAGACACAGTAATTTGACAACTCTTTTTCATGTCAGAAATATTTTCCTGAGTTTTAGATGAGATTTACAGATGAAGACCCTAAAAAAATGGCAGGATGAGTGGTAATGTTTTTAAACTGAAAGAAGGTAAATTCAGACTGGATCTAAGGAAGAAGGCTTTTACAGTGAGGATGCTGAAACACCCTAGAAACATTCAAGGGGTGTTGGATGTGGCTCTGAGCAACCTCCAGCTGATACTGCTTATTGCAGTAGGATTGGATAAGGTGGCCTTTAAAAGTCCCTTCAAACTCAGACGTATTCTGTGATTTTATTTTAAAATTCTAAATGTCACAGATCATTTGACAGTTTTTCAGGCTCTTAAGATCAAATCAGATTTTTTCTGATAAATGCCTGAATGAGCCTATGTAGTGAGTCTTTTTAATATTCTGTCTGTGCCAAAGCTGTTTCACTTGTACCTTGCAACTTGTACTTATCTGAGCAAGATTCTTTAGTGTGAGCTCAAATACATGAGAAAACTTCTTGAAATCACAGTGGCTACCTGGGTGCTTGCTGATGGAAACAGGTTGCTAAGGGGGAGAGTTACAGCTCTAATGTCATTTTGCACAGCACTGATTAGTGCAGATGCTAACCCAGGACTTTGGTACCAATGCAGATTGGAATCCATGAAGATTTTGGTACACATGTGCACTAAATTTATTAGCTGCAGTAAGCATACTCCAAAATACAGGAGCTTTTTTTCCTCTCTCAGAGTTTCAAGTTGTAAATGTATAATTGTTACATCAGAAGACTGGTAATCCTTTTTGACTCCTTCAGTCTTTCCTAATTCCTTTCAAAAGAAGTTCAAACCAAGCTGATTGTGTATTATTCTTCACTTATTCATTTGTGGATTTTCTTTTCATGTTTTTCCCTATGATTTGTCTTTTTTTTTTCATTTTTCATAAGTCCCAGGGAAGATTTTTTCCTCTTGAAGCAGCAGTGATGTTATTTTACCTCTGTAATTTTTGATGCTTCTGTTATGATCCTGTTATTGAGAGATGCCTCTGCATAATTAAGGTGTAAACAAAGGGTTGAGGTGATACCAGCAATATGTGTACAAGCAGCTGCTGCTCCACAGTTTCCACAGAAGTGGGAACCCTTGTCTGGATGTGTTACCTAGGATGAGCCAGGCTAACCTGCCACTCCATCCCGTGCTTATCTCATGGCAAAATGCTTCTGTGGTGTTAAAATCACAATTCCCTGTCTCAAACAATGTTTAAGTCAATGTGAAGTGTGGTCTCTAAAGCAGCCAGGTTGTCAGGTGGTGGTGTCCACATCACAGTTCATGTCTGCTCTAACATCCTATTTAAAAAGGCAT